TTTCGTACTTTATGTCGAACTCTGAGGGTTCTAATGACAACTTGAGCATTCTACCCACCATGTTCGGTCGTCCGAGCAACTTCTTTATTGGTTGTTCTTCCTGGATGATGATTGTATGGGTCAAGAAATAATGTCTCAACCTCCTCGCCGAGTTGATAAGTGCTAAGGCTACTTTCTCGATCTGTTGATACCTCACTTCGGAGCCTTGTATGGCTTTGCTCGTGAAGTAGATGGGCTTCTACCCTTCAGGGGTTTCTTGGATGAGGGTAGTGCTTACGTATTCGAATGCAACAACCAGATAAAGGTAGATGATCTCTTCCTTTTCTGGTCGAAAAAGGACCGGTGGTTGCGACAATGCCTGCTTCAGGTGGACGAGGGCGTGCTCGCACTCTTCTGTCCATTTGAAGGCACCCTCTTTACAGAGAAGTTTGAAGAGGGGGAGCGCGTGTTGGGCAGATTTTTCGATGAATTGAGATAGAGGTGTGATCATTCTGTTCAGGATTTGAATGGATTTCTTCGAGTTAGGTGTTGGAAACTAAAAAAACGCCCGATATTTGTTGAGGTTAGCTTCGATTCCTCGTTCTGTTAGGTAGAAATTGAGGAATTTTCCTGCGCGTACGTCGAAGGTGCATTTCTCTGGGTTGAACCACATTCTGCATTTCCTTGCTTGTTCAAAAACTTTTCTGAGGTGAAGGACGTGGTTGATTTCCTCTCGATATTTTACGATCATTTTGTCCATATATACCTCGAGCATGTCTCTGATTTCTCCCTGGAAAACTTTGTTCATCATGTGTAGTAATAGTTGCCTGATTCGGGCATGAACGTTGTATATTTTTTGTCCACCTTTACCATGGGGATTTCATTGTATCCAGAGTACGCGTCCAAGAAAGACAGTAATTTAAAGCCTGCAGAATTATCGACCAATTTTTCGATGTTAGGAAGTGGATAAGCATCTTTCGGGCAACCCCAATTGAGATCGGTATGATCAATACACATATTCCACTTTCCATTAGATTTTTTAACGAGGACTACATTCGAGAGCCAGGTTGTGTACCGGGCTTCCGAAATAAAATTTGCCTTTAAGATGCCTTTTACAGCCTACTCGACAGCCTTTGTTTTTTCTGGAGACTACTTTCGTCTACGCTGAGCAACCTCCTTAAGGGCAAGGTCTATTGTCAGATGATGACAAACTGTTTCTGGATCCAGTCTAGGCATTTTTGCTGCACTCTAAGCGAACAGATAGGCATTCTCCTTCAGGCATGCTTCCAATTGTCTCTTCGCTAGGTCGGGGAGGTCGGCACCAATTTTCACTCCTTTTGGAGCGATCGCTCCCGAGGGGAACGATTTCGAAATCCCCATATGGGATTGGTTGCATGGGATGTGCGGGCTCCTCGCTACTCATTATTAGGGATGAACTTTCTCCTTCGATCATGGGCTCTTTCCCCTTTCTCCTCCACTATGTGAAGTCTTATTTCGAAAAACGACTGTCCAGGTTGATGGTGTCGACTCGTCGAAGTGACATGGGTTCCTCGGAGTTGGTGGGCAGAGCAAATCTGTTGGTCATTTGGGGTTGTATGCTGATGGAACTTAGGCCCTTGGCTGACGCCTCAAAATACCTCCTTACATCCTGGATATCTCTGTGGAGGGTGGCGACCAAACCTTCAGCGGTGTAGTATTTCATCTTCAGATGTACGGTGGAGGGCACCGCTATCAACTCGGATAAAGTGGATCTTTCGAAGATCCATTGGTAGAGTGACAAGCACTTCACCACCAGAAATTGGGTCCTGATGGCCTTGGCTGTTACGCCTGTCCCGAAGGTAACAATCAGCTCGACGTATCCCCAGGGTTTGGTGATGGGTCCGTTGAACCCTTAGAGATATGAGCCTACGTATGGGGTCAAATGGGTCTCATTCAGTTGTAAAGTGCTGAATAGCTGGGTGTACATTATATCTATTGAGCTTCCCTGATTGACCAAGATGCGTCAGACGTCAAAGTTTTCCATGCGTCTCCGTACAAGAAGTAGGATGCTCGAGTTGGGGGGCCCCACCGAACAACTCTTCCCGGTATAATGCCGAAGGGATGAGAGCCTCCTCTGAATTTGTAGAGGGTGGCATCCATGTTAGAGTTGTCCTTTATCAGTTGGTCAAACCTCATCTTCACTGAACCCACCGTGTGCTTGTTGAATCCCCCGTCAGAGATGACCATTATCGCCGGGAAAGATTCCTAAGGACTGTGCGAAAAGAAGTATAGTGGGGTCTCTTCCATGTCGGGAAAATATAAATCCTCCGGTCTTGTGATGCTCATAGTGACTGAGATTAGTCTTGTGTCGGGGGAGTCATTCACTTCTTTAACATTCTTGGCTTCTTGAGCTTCTTCGCAAGCACTCACCTTTTTCTTGTATTATTTGAGATTTCCATCTCAGATGAGTATCTCAATTGCATATTTGAGGTGGACGCAGTCGTCAGTGTTGTGCCCATGGCTCTTGTGAAACCTATAATATTTGCTTTTACCCATCCCAGGCTTAGACGATGTTTGGCGGGGAAAGCGTATCCCGACTTGCTTGAATTCTGAATTAGTGTCAGAATACACTCACGAGAGGCATTGAGAGGGTGTAGTCATGAAAACGACTAGCTGGCCCTCGGTGGTCTTTAGAGTCTCGGGACTTATCTTATCTCTTCTTCTCTCCTCCTCGACGGGATATCGAGGGCTCATCGTTCTTCGAGGTCTTGGCATTCTCTCGGTGTTGTGAGTCCCTTGCATTGTTAGCGACCTCTTTCTCTTTATACTAAATGTACGCTTGGGCTTTAAGTAGGAGGGAGTCGAACTGGCTGGAGTCTCGATGCTAACGGCTTTGGAAAAATCATTGCGGGGACGGAGTCCGCGCTCGAGGAGATATTTTTTCATGCCATCAATCGTAGAGACCTACACGACTTCCTTGTTGAAGCGGTCAATGTAAGCCCGAAGAGACTCATCCCTCCCTTGGATGATTTATTCTAGTGATGCTTCCGACTTAGGATGTCGGCGAGACACTATAAAATGCCGCAAGAACATCTTCCCCAACTGCTTCCAGGAGGTGATGGATTCGTCTAGAATGGCACCTTTCCTCAGGGTAGTCAGGAACAACCTACACTTGGCGCCCCCGACTCCTTGGTAGTCGAGCAGGGCGTCAATATTTTCTATATGTTCATCGGGATCAGTTGTACTGTCATATATTCCCAGCAGGGGTGGCTTCTCCATACCGACTAAAAGCTAGGTCTTTGTGATCTCTCTTGATAACAGGCCTCAGGGATCATCGTCGTCACTTTCTTCAGGAGATGGAGGTGGGGAATGGTGGTTCCTTCCCCGTCGGCTATTGTTGTCCCGTCGGGGATAAGGGCTTCTTTGCAGCTTCTTAGACTTGGGAGATGATGATCGGTCACGGTCAAGTCGGCAGTCGCTCTTCGTCTTCTTAGAAGAAGGGGAGCCTTGATCTTTCTTGGGAGGCGTGTTGTCGTGTTTCTTGAGGAAAGAAACGTCATGCTTCTCCCTTCTGGTTTGACGACCACGCCTAGGTAGGGATATGATGGAAGAGTCGTATCGTTGGTGCCTCTGAGGAGGAGACTTTGACTGCTTCTTCTCCCAGGCTCTTATCCTCTTGCTCTGTTACAGGATAAAGGCGTTGGGCTGGTTGAGGGCAGCGAGCAATGCCGCAATGGTCGGGTCGATATTTTGAGGAATGGGAACTGGTTGTAGGATCTCTGACAGTTTCTCGGTAGGGTTCTTGGAATGCTGCTCGTCCAAGAACTAATGGTCGTCGCACTGGGCATCGACTGAATCTAGAGACGCAGTCTGTCCGTCTCTAACATTGAAGTCATCCTCGAGGTGAGGATGCTCCTGGCTTCCTTCGATCTTGTGGACCGGGGAGAGTACTGTCTTTTCAGAGATGTGGTGATCATCATGGTCGGCCATGGTTGAAGAATTAAAGGTATCTTTGGTCTTCAGTTTATAGGAAAAGAAGACGGGGAAGACAGTTTCCCACAGACGACACCACTGATCTTACTGGTTGATCATAACCTGCAAATGGATCGAATTATGATGCCCGGTTTGCTGGATAGTCGAGAAGAAATGGGGTTTGCACCTGCGAGGCACTTCGCCGATCAAGTAATAATCGGTGTAAAGAGATACAAGCAGTATATTAGGGTTTAAGGTTTGGATATTGGATACCTGACCATCACACGTGTGAGGGTTTATATAATGCCCCCGACACTTGGCCATTGGTCCCTATTTTTTGGCTTAGATATGCGGGTCTGAAAAAATAGGTAATTGCCAAGATTTGGCCAAAACGAGCAGATGTGTCCGTAACTAACTGTTTGTTCCAAAGAGGAGGCGGATTATAGGCAGAGAAGAACGTTCTAGACGTTTCTTGGTTGTCCGCTCGACTCGTGTCGGGCTGACGGAGAGATAGATGCTACTTGAGCAGATGCGCGTATTGGCCATCATTGATCGCGCCTCTTGAGGTGTGATCGACCATGGATGCTGGACCGATATTATTGTGCCGCACCAAAAATAGAAGCGGTTTGGGCCAATTCTAGTCATTGGATAATTGAAGTATATATATATATATATATATATATATATATATATATATATATATATATATATATATATATATATATATATATATATATAATTTTTAAATATTAATAAACTTTTAAAAATGATGAAAAATTTAATTGAACACCATAAAATTATTTTATTATAAAAAAATCTTTTAAAAATCATTGAAATTTCAATTCAATTCAACCAAATAAAACATTTCACTTCGATTCTTAGTGTAAATAAGACTTAGGCAGTAAATTGTCGCTATGAACTTCACTACGTGCATCGGAACTAGTTAGTTATACCAAAAAAAAAATCAATTCAGTTCCATAAAAAAGTCTTTTAAGAATCATAGTGCGTAACTTGAATGAATTTGCAGAAGATCCATTAGGGGAACCGGAAGAAGTAGAAATTGAAGTGAAATGGTGAAAGTAAGCAAAGAAGTTATGCAAAAAGCGGCGACACTACTCTCCGACTTCCTCGTTTGCCCTCTCTCCAAACAACCCCTAAGGTACACCTCACTTTCATTTCTTTTCAATTTAATAACTAACTGCAAAACCCTAATCAAATTCAACATCTTTTTAGGTTTTGCGAGGAATCAAATTCCCTTATCAGTGATGCTATTGCCGTTTCATTTCCCGTCAGTTATATCAACTCCTTCTTGCATTTTAATTTCCTCATTTGAATTAAAGTTTTTATACTTGATTGGGTGAGATAATGTGACGAAATGGAATGGTATGGAACAAGGTTCCATTGTTTGGATCAATTAAAATCAGATGGAGTGGAGCGGAATTGATTGATATGAATTACATTTCATTCCATCACTTATCATCATATTTCTTCCCAAATGGAGAATTTGCCTTCATTCGTCCTAAAATACCCAAACGATGGAATGAAATCTTCATTTGCTCCACTTCATCCTGCTCTATTCCATACCACTATGTTAATTTCATGATATTCAAACATAAGGCTATGTTTGGATTGATGGAATATAACGGAGCGGAACAAAATGGAACATAATGGAGTGGAATAGAGCGGAGCCAGAATGAAATATAGATTTCACTCTATTGTTTGCATATTTTATTAAAAATGTCTCATTTTGTACCGTCTACATTGAATGAAACAAAAAATGGAGGACTGGATGGAATAAATTACATCATGTTCTATTTCACTCCATCAATTATTTGCAAATCCAAACCATAGAATCTCATTATTTACCACAGGACTCTACTACATCTCATCCCATACCACCAATCCAAACATAGGATGCAATGAAATGGAATGGAATGGTAATAATGAGATTCTATTGTTTGGATTTGTAAATAATTGATGGAGTTAAATGGAACATGATGGAATCCGATTTGGGGTATATACAAATAGAATGAACATTTTTGAACAAAGTATCCAAACAATGGAGTGAGATTTATATTTCATTTCGCTCTTCCATTTCACTCCGTTATGTTTTATCATGCTCCGCTCCATTATGTTCTATCAATCTAAACATATGATCAATCTAAATTGTAATATGATATTAGAGTTTGATTAAGATTCATTAGGCCCCCCGCTATTGAGCCAATCATATCACACTCTTGATGTCAAGTATGTGCATGAAGAGGTTTGTTAAGAGTCTTATAACGAGATAAGACTTTTCTTTACAAGGCAGTATTATAAAGGTTGATTTATACCTATGAGGATATGTGGGTTAACTCTGCTTAAGTTTTGAACAAGCTCATTCTATAAAATTTGGGGACTTTATGTGATGAACTTAAAACAATTTATGAGCATACTCATGTGCTGTTTTAATCCTCCCAGCACTTATACAAGTAATTTTGTTAAATAAATGAGTTTAGATAATTTCTTCTAAAAAAGTCTAGTTACTAAAACAAATATGCATCAAGTTTTAGTTATGACTTATGTTACATTTTCTTATGTCAACCTGTTAGATAAAGAATGGGATACCTTGCTTGGTTCCAAGAGATGGGAAGATACTAGAGGAAGAAGATGCATCAAAACCAGATAATGATGCCAATTTATATGCAGTAAATGAAGATAATAAGGAAAGAAGTTCCTAAGACGATGATCTGTGAGAGATGCTTATGGTTTGATACCTAGTTTCACAGGGATTATGTTACCCTCTCCTCACTCTTCCTCACGTCTCTTTCTCTACATGATGATCAAATACTTAGTGAACACGTTGTTGGTAGAATTGTGTGTGACAAAGAAGTTATCCTTTTACACTTGGGGAGGACTGAAATATGACTCTTCCTTCTTTGAAATGATGATGAAAATAAATCTTAGTTTCCCCTTCCCTTTCACCGTTTGAATATTTTATCCAACCTGAGTGATTGATTTGTATCTCTTGAACTTCACTCTTTAACTTAATGATGATTCAAAGTTTATACTTCATACATTTTTGTCTGTTGGTGATGATACATAATAATTCTATAGAATTTAAAGATAAGGCTCTTTGTTATTAGGGGTTTGGTAACAGCTCTGCAAAACAAACTTTATTTTTTAGTAGCAAATATTCATAAGTTAGTGGTAATGTTAGTTTGTAAGGTTTCAACCTTGGATTTCTTGCCCATAACTTCTTTACTGTCTCTTAATTCACCAATCGAGTATCAATTTGGGACCAAAACTGACTTTGTTACTGCTGACAATCAAGCTAAATGTCATATATTGTAACTGACTTCATGACCAAGAATAAGAAAACTATAGAAGGTTAGAGTGTATACAAATAACTTGTCTTGCACCTGAAAGCAATGGTCTGCCTCAATGAGGTCTGATCTGGTGGCTTGACTTGTGTTTTACTGCTTACCCACCTTTCTGTTTGTTTTCTCCTTTTATTTAAACATCAAATTCCCCCATATTTTAAAGATTTTCCAATTTGAGCTAGTTCAATTTTATCGCCTCAAATAATCAATCTATATTATCATGTTTCCTCAAATTCTGAATATTTTTTATATGTGATTTACAAACTACAAAGGCAAGTTCTCTGTTTTGTCCAACCTGATAATTAAAGCTAGCAGATTTGTCATTTTCTTGTTTGTATGGTTATAGCAAAAACTACAGTAGTTCACCCAACATAAACTATAGTAAAAGATTCACATAGTTGTGCAAAAGAATATGAACTGTAAAAGATTCACATAGTTGTCAGATGAAAGATACTATCTTCTATTTTATTTTGCGTGTAGTGCACAATTTAAACTCATTATGCAATTTATAAGAACCGTGATCTTATGATACTCTGCAAATTTCAAGAGCAATCAAGTTGTCTGCTGAATCATGAATGGCCATGTCACCTTGCCTTGTTGCTTTAAAAGACTTTATAGGTTTTGTTTGGATATCATAAAATAAATAAAACGAAATATAAAGTATCGGAGCGGAATGAAGCGGAATAGAGCTGATAAGAATATAAATTCTATTCCATTTAACTCTAAAGGTTGGCCTAATGGTGAAAGTTTGGATTACGAGTGCGTGTTCTTTTCAAAGTCTCGGGTTTGAATCTCGCTGAGTGCAAACAATTGTTGTGATAAGCTAAATTCATACAGAACTTTGCTATGACTTTTAATGGTCTCTATAAGTGGAAGGTTAAATTGACCCTCTTAAATTAGTCTGACGCAAAGTCGGATACTAAGATTTAGAAGAAAAAAAATATTCTATGCAAATTCTCCATTCTGACCAAATGGTCATAGAAAAATGTATAATTATAAGTGATTAAATGAAATGAATTCATATCACTTAATTTTACACCACTTCATCAGATTTTAAATAATCTAAACGATGAAACACTATTTTATTGTATCTTTTACGATTCCGTTTCATCCAATTTCATCAATTTAAAGAAAGCCTTAAAGTTATATTCCAGGACTTATCTGAAATATAACATATAAATATAGAAACTATTCTTATAAAATAACTGAGATATATTTATGTTATTGTCTTTTTCTAAAAGGAAGAAGAAAAAAAGTTTAAAATGCACTTATATTCTAGCACATGCATACGTACATACATACATGACAATAGGTACTATATAGAAGTTGGGCTTCCAGTAGTTTATATATATAGGTCAAGAGTAACACTCTTGTGTTGGTGTAACCACACTATCTATGGACCATAGAAACTTTGACACAAACATCTAACCATCCTTCCAAACCAAGCAAAACAACACAAACAATGACTAAACAAGACCTATAATTGTGCCAATAAGATCCATTAGTTGCAATTCAGTTTCTTAATAAGGGTCTAATAGCAATGCTTACCCTTCAAAAATCAAGATGACACTAAAAGCCTTTATATCACTGGTCTTCGATTTAATTGGCCTAGAAGATGGACAGACAAACCAGGATGCAACTTTACCTTACATTGTTGCCACATCAATTGTCCCAAACAAGATCAATCAACAATCATCAGAATCTTCAACATCCAATATTATGGAGAAAAACAATGATGTTGGATTGTGTTGTGTGTGCTTGTCTATGTTAAACAACAAAGATGAAACTCGTGTGCTTCCTTGTTCGCACGAATTTCATAAGGTCTGTGTGAATAGTTGGCTAAAGGGTCATCATAAAACATGTCCATTGTGTCGTTTTTCAATGGGAGCTGAGGAAAAGTCTCATCGTGCTGAAATGTTTTCTGAAGAGATGCTAATATGGTTTTCTTCTTTTCATATTGCTGGTATGTAAATGTAATGATTTTGAATTCACCAGAAAAATTTCTGGTTTTGCTATAATCAGAGACTTTGTTTGGCCTCTTGCACAATAAAAAAAATTTACATTTTCTAATAAAAACTAAAAATCGCAATTTCTGAAAATCGCAATCTATTTTTCGTTAGATTTGTATAAGATTGACTTTAATTAATCTAAATATGTTAAACAAGAAAATAAACTATTGATCAGGTCTTCTCAATCACTTATTCTCTTCATTCTCACGCTCTTTAACTTTATAATTATTTTGTTATTTACTAGCACAAAGGATATGCAAGTAGCCACAAAAGAAGATTTTACTTCATATCCTCACATTTATCTTCTACTCTTCCATTGAAAATATTTCGACTAAAATGTCTTTATATAAATAATTTATTTGTCTTAATTTTTATTTTTTCATCATTTATATATTGAAAATTCATATAAATACTCTTATATTTATGTTTTGATTAAATATTATTCGTATTTCAAATTTTTTTTAAAAAATAAATTGTTATACCGTAACACTTTTTAAGTGTTCTGATTGGGTGTCATTTGTGTTTCAAAACTTCAAAATCTAAAAGTGTCAAACCGAAACACTTTATGAAAGTGTTTCGGTTGGGAGTATATTAAAACACTAGATATCTTTAAAAAAATATTTTGGATATGATTTTTTTTTCTTAAATGAGTTTTAATAACAGTTCAAAACCGCAACTTAAAAGTAAACAAACAAGGCTTTAAAACCATTCTCAAAGTGGAAATATCACTCCAAACATTGCCAAAAGAATCTGGTATGACAAATTAGATAATTGGTACAGTTTTCTTTACTTTAGGCCACAAGTTTGAATTGTTGCCGAACTCATTTAAGAAAAAAAATTAACCGCAACACTTTTTGAAAGATATCTGATGTCTTAATAATACATCTCTTAGCTGGAAATTTTGATAGTAGAACATAAAAGATCAAAGTCGAAGAATAAGTTATTTTGAAAGAAATATTTTGTGAAAACTTCGACTGACTGTTTACTAAGTGGGCAGTCGTACATCAAATTATATGATTACAAGAAGCTTTTTGTTTTTAAGGGAATTCGAAGTATTGGAAGTTTGAATTCAAATTGAGTTTTGGCGCTCTCTGCAAAAGAAAGATTCGAAATTCAAATTTTTGATCTTATCTTGAAGACACGTGGAGGTCTAATAGTTCGAAGAATTTGCATGTCATAAACGTGGCATTTAGATGTAGAAAGACCGTTAAGATCGAATTTGTATATATATAGGGGTCCTAGCAATAAGATTCGTGTGTTCATTCGTTTGTACATAATCTCACAATAAACTCAAAGTATTTGCGTATTGAGAAAAGAGTCCTTTGAGAAACGTACGTATAAACACCACCTTTTATTTGCACTTTCTCTACAAGCTTTATAAGTTTACTTTAAAGAATTATTTAGATCGAAACCAATATTATAAAAAACCTATGAATATCATTGAAGTACTCTTCATTTCAAAGAACAAAGTTTGAATAAGAACACATGTCCTAAGATTAATCTAGTCGATCCTGCAAGTAACTAAGGACTTTTCATCATTTTTAGAAGACTAGCGTCTCTTTACCAATTTTCACGGTAAACAAATTGGCACGCCTAGTGGGACGGTGTTCAGTTAAAAAATATTTTTTTGTTCTTGTGAAAAGTTTTTGAAAATCTTCATCTTTTTCTTGTATTATACTTTGTGGCATGCGACTTAGAAGTGGTAAATTAGCCACAAACAACAAAGAAATACCTAAAAGAAAATATGCTAGAAAAATGACAAACCAAAGTCAATCAAGTAATCAAAATCCTCATAACAATGATGAAGTACCACCCATGTCACTTCGACAGGGGGAACAAGGGTTTATGCGCCTTTTACATATGATATACTGTCTACAACAAGTTCGACACCAATGCAGTCGAACGCTTGTAGTAGCCCTATTTTGACTTATATAGGACCACATGATCCACTAGGGACCCCCCCCCCCCCTTCTCCAGGGGAAAATGCTTTCCATAGGCCTCAAGGGCCTCCTGGGTTTTCTATGCCTCAGAGTGGTCGCGAATGGCCTTATGGCATACCATCATCGTTTATGTCCGGTTTGCATAATTCCACTTTAACACATTCAGATCCTGTAATGAACGTCACTTCGCCAATGCAAGGTTATGGGTCTGCTGTTAATAATATGGGTCAAACTATCCAATCCTATGGAAAAGGATTTTAATCCCAAGTGCCAAACTTGACAAATCACTCTACAACAATAATTAGGCAGCAAGTGGGCGAAAGTAACATGAAATGGTCCAAATGCTTGCACAAACCATGAGTATAATTTTTAACCCTTTGATTCAAAATACCACTCAAGTGAACCAACAAATGGAAATGCAAATGACGTGCATCAATGAATTATTTGGTGTGCCTCAACCCTCACCACATCCTTAGAGGGAATTGGTTAGAGAAAATCAAGGAGTAACCTTCAAAGAAGACCCAACGACTAACCAAGTTCAACAAAATCAAAGAAATCCACCTCAGGAAAATATGGTAAATCAGGGAGGGGAAGTCGAAATACCTAGAGTGGAACCTCCTAGACAGGAATAAAAAATCCCAAGGGAGGCGGAACCCAGAGTTATGATGGTGAATAGGAATCAAAATGCTGATGAAGTCATATATTAAGTTCGATAAGATAATATGGCAGCAGAAAATAATCTAGCGGCCATGATCGAAAGGATTATGGCTCAAAATGGTATGATTGTTGGCCTTCATAGGCCAAGTTACAATTCTCTATTGAGTGAGTATATCTTGCAAACAGATATACCTCCAAGATGGAAAGTCCCCTAATTTACTAAAATCTCTGAGGACACTACTGAATCCACTATTGAACATGTGGCTAGATACCTGATAGAGGTAGACAAAATTTCCAGTAATAAGAATCTTAGGATTAAATACTTCCCAAGTTCATTAACGAAAAATGCGTTCACATGGTTCACAACACTACCAGCGAATTCAATTCATAATTAGGCCCAATTGGAAAGCTTGTTTCATGAACAATTCTACATGGTACAGATCAAGATTAGTTTGAAGGAATTAGCAAGTGTTAAGCGCAAATTCACTGAGCCCATAGATGATTATCTGAATCAATTCCTTTTGCTCAAAGCTAGATGTTTCACTCAGGTGCCCGAGCATGAATTGGTCGAAACGACTGCAGAGGCCTAGATTATTCCATTAGGAAGAAATTGGATACCAAATACTTGAGAGACATGGCCCAATTGGCTGATAGAGTTTGACAGATAGAACGTTTGAAAATCGAAAAAGCTAGAGCAAGTAAGAATAACAGAAAAGAAAGAATAGCCTATGTTGAATTCGACGAAAGTGATAAGGGGTTATATGAAGAGCCTTTGGATTTGGATGAAGGCGAAATAGATCTTGCTGAACTTAAGCAAGGTCTCCCTTATTCTTGTAAGAGTTTAGCACCTTCAAATGGAAAAATCACAGTCAAAACTGATAAGGGCGATAGATTCCTTAAGAAAACTTATACTTTTGATGTCAAAGATAGCCAAATGATAATGCCTCCTGGTGCTAAAATACCCCCTTTGTTGGAACAAAGGAAAAAGAGGGGTTTCTGCAAATATCATAATTTTTTGGGCCATAAAACATCTCAATGTTTCCTTTCAGGGATCTCGTTCAAAATGCAATTAAAGAGGGAAGGCTCAAATTTAGGGAGAAGTCGAAACCCCAGATGAAGATTAATGTTGACCCCTTTCATGTAGCTGAGGCCCATTATGCTGAACCAACTTCGATTAACATGGTGGCAGTCACTGAAGATTTTTCCAAAGAAGTGGTCATGGTCGAAGCTGAAGGATTCACAAAGGGAATCATTGAGGATTCCATCCAGATGTTACCAACGATAAAAACTACTTATGGTTTCATGTAGGTTGAAAACATATCGAAGGCTACTGAAGGCCTTGTGGTCGAAACTACCGATGGTTTCATGAAGATTAATCACATGATAAAGGCTACTAAAGGCCTTAGGGCAGAAACTACTGATGCTTTCATGCAGATTGATAACATGAATGAGGCTATTGAGGGCCTTGTGGTTAAGTTATGAGATATGGGCATCAATGAGGATGCAAGTGTCGAATTGAATATGATCGAAGCTTCACAAAAGGATGAGATTGAGGTGGATGAAAAAACCAAAAGACAAGAAGAATGTAACCAGGTGGCATATCCTAAGAAACTGAAAGTTTGTTGGAATTTCTCCATAGGTGCAAGAGAAAGAAGTCTAAGGTTATGTTATTCCCCAGATGCAGTTTGATCTTTGACAAGAAAGTTGCTAAAAACATTGAAGGCTATCGAAGGATCAACAAAAGAAGGAATTAGAACAATTTCAATAAGAGGTTCATCTTCGATAAGAGGGGAATTCCAAGAAACCAAAACCAAGGAGGACAGAGGTTTTGTGCGAATAACCAGTCTTCTTTTAAACCAACTGTTGAAGTACCTAAGGGGAAATGGGTGAAGCCTGCTCACATGTGGGATCAGGACCAGTCTAAGTGGAAGAATTTTGAGGTTGGAAGAGGATCTTCATTGGAATATCGAAAAGTATTTCAGGTTACTAGGCAACAAGCATATGGATCAAGTAACTAGAAAGGGAAGAACCTTATGTCTCGCTCCCAATGGCGTAGGGAACAAAGGAAGAGAAAATATGAAAGAGAAGCCAAAGAGAAAATGGTTGCAGAATCAACTAGTAATAGGACCACAAACACAATGAAGGACAATGTGATGGAAAGTGAGAGGGTGGGGAGGCTATTTGAAGTAGAAAATTTTGAAGATTAGGTCGAATGTGCAGAAAATGAAAATGAACTGCTAACAGACAACTTCAATATAGACTCAGAACCAAGCCTCGATATCATTTGCAATATAATATTTGTTCTACCAAGGGATTATGACCAAATCACAGAGGCCAAAGAGATATAAGAGAATGTCGATGCTGAAATGGCCAGACACAAGCCTGTGTGTTACTATGTAATGAACAACAATTGTGTAAAAGAGCAAAATGTCTTTTTTGAAAGGCCAGATGAAGCTATGAGAAACCATTTGAAACCTCTCTTCATAAGAGGAAAATTGTAGAACATGGCCATAAACAAGACATTAGTTGATGAAGGTGTTGTAGTGAATCTCATACCTCATACTACCCTGAAGAAGTTAGGAAAAACTGATATGGACACAAAGCAACATAACATGGTTTGTCCAATTATGAGGTTAAAGTAGGATCAACCCTAGGAGTCATCCAAGTTGACTTGACTATTGGCACAATAACAAGACCAACTATATTTATGGTGGTCAAATCAAAAGCCAATTACAACTTATTACTGGGCAGAGAATGGATACATGGTATAGGAGAAGTGTCATCCTCAATGCACCAAAGAATAAGCATATGGAACAATGATGGTATAGTGGAAAATATTAAAGCTAACCAAAGTTATTTTATGGTAGAAGTTAATCATGTCAAAAGGCGCCATTTTGACAAAAATCTGGCAAACATTGCTCCTTGCAGTCCTGCTGGATTTGCATTTTCATCTGATGATAATGCATATTGTTCCCTTTATTTACATCATACTCAAGGTTTCCAGTGGGATAGACAGGTTGTAGGAGATGAAGACATGGGTTTTAGGGGAACAGAAGGTATCCAACCAACTGGTTGGAGTAGTGAATTCAATAAAGATGTATGAGTCCCAAACATTGAGAAAGATTTCGGCCTATATGGTTGAAAACAAATTAAAATCGACCTTAGAGGATGAAGTAAAATTTATGGCTGTCAAAGCCAAGAAAGATGAGGAGCACCTTGAGGGTCCTGGAAAGCACTTCGATCCCGAACCACCTAATAAGGTTCAAGATGAAGTGAAAGGCTAGAGATTTGATGCCATCTATGATGACGAGCCTTTGGGTTTCAAAAAGGATCCATTGGCAAACAAGACGAAGATGCTAGCGCAAGATCCACTCGAAGAGATAGACCTAGGTGAAGGGGAGATCAAAAGGCCAACATACATCAACACCAACATCAACCCGCAACTCATGATCAAAATAATTTAACTATTTAAGGAGTTCAAGGACTGTTTCACATGGGATTACGATAAAATACCTGGTTTAAGCAGGG